CGCAGGTTATCTATCCGGAAGTACTAAACATATTCGTGCGGGTTCTAATCAGTTAATATATTAGTAACCTAACCTAATGAATGGATGCGTTAGAAACCCATATTGTGGTTCCTATTGTTTGTTTTGTTTGTGAGAAGTATGAAAGTTAGATATGAAAGTGCTAACACGAATAAGCAACTGTATAGTACGGATTTTATTGCGGAAAGATGCAATAAAATCCTTTTGTGGCGCGCGGGGTAATGTAACGTTGCAGTTACATATTCTTACTAATTTAACTTAAACACCTAAAGTGTTCTAATTAAACCTAATTACAAACCTAATACCTTAGTAACAAAATAATTTCATAGTAGGATATTATCAAATCTGAAATCGTCACTGTTTACAAATTCCAAGTCGAGATGCGGCTATAATACTCAGGCCGTCGAGTTCTTTGTTAACCGATCGGCGTCAGTAGATGCCAGGTACCACATTCCAGCCTTTGTCTAAAACATGGCGTGATATTTTAAGCAAGCTGATTGGTCAAGACGGCCCTTAACAACCGCCGGGTCCACATTCGGAAACTATCGACATGTTTCGGCTGTCTCCGTGCCTTTGTGTCGGAGCTACGGTTGACCGCTACTGGCCATTCCGAAAATCTCGCCTCACGCACTAGGACGTGACGCGCTCCCATAAACAAATAAAACCGTTATCGTAAAAGACGCCGGTAACGTACCTCGACATCGGCACGTTATTGCCATAGTTTTATATAGTTACTAGCTGGTGCCCGCGAACTTCGTCTCGCCAAGGGATGCTTGTGTTCCAACAGGCCCTCCAGAGCTGATAAAAAGTGTGGTGCCGGCAGAGAAAAGACGTGTGGTGCCGACATAGTAAGCCGTGTGGTGCCGGCAGAGTAAGCCGTGTGGTGCCGGCAAAGTAAGCCGTGTGGTGCCGACAGAGTAAGCCGTGTGGTGCCGGCAAAGTAAGCCGTGTGGTGCCGACAGAGTAAGCCGTGTGGTGCCGACAGAGTAAGCTGTGTGGTGCCGACAGAGTAAGCCGTGTGGTGCCGGCAAAGTAAGCCGTGTGGTGCCGACAGAGTAAGCCGTGTGGTGCCGACAGAGTAAGCCGTGTGGTGCCGGCAGAGTAAGCCGTGTGGTGCCGGCAGAGTAAGCCGTGTGGTGCCGGCAGAGTAAGCCGTGTGGTGCCGGCAGAGTAAGCCGTGTGGTGCCGGCAGAGTAGAATAGCACCACCTCCTCTCTTCCCGTGGGGTCGGGGCGACTGAGGATAAACCCGACCCAAATCCATTAATCCGTTAATCCACCACAAAAGCATTCCCAAGAAGGGTTGACGTCTGGTAGGCGACCGGTTTTAAAATTAGGTAAGCCAAATCCTTGGCAACACGATTTTGTGTTCAACGAAACGTGTTGCGCCGACCCCAAGTAATTGGGATAAGAGCAGGAAGATGATGATGAGATGCATGCACAATGGGTCATCATAATCAACATCATATCAGCCATAGGACGTCCACTGCTGAACATAGGCCTCCCCTAAATATTTCCATATTGTCCGATTATGAGCGGCCTGCATCCAGCATTTCCACGCGGACTTGACCAGATTCTCTATCTATCTGGCGGGGAGCCGCCCTACGCTGCGCCTGCCGGTACGTGGTCTCCACTCGAGAACTCTTCTGCTCCACCGATTATCAGTTCTTCGAGCAACGTGGGCTGCCCATTGTCACTTCAGCTTACTGACTCTCTTAGCTATGCCGGTTACCTTGGTTCGTCTACGGATTTCCTCGTTTCTGATTCAATCACGTAGAGAAAAACCGAGCATTGCTCTCTCCATAGCTCGCTGAGTGACTAATCTATTTATGAGGCCCACGTCTCGGCACCGTAGGTCATCATTGGCATGACACACTGTTCAAACACTTTTGTCTTGAGACACTGAGAAATTACGGACGTGAAGACGCTGCTTAACTTCCCGAATGCTGCCCAGCCGAGCTGGATTCGCCTAGAGGCCTCTTTCTCAAAGTTAAACGTATTTGTCCTAAATGGGTAGAAGCATGGACGTACGGTAGAAGTCCATAATATAAATAAATAATAATAGGCAATGAATGTCAAAACTGATGTCTTCACGATTTGTCAAAATCAAACAAAAACAATATAAAATGGAGGTTTCAAGAAGAGGTTTCTACTTTTTGACACCCAATGGACAGGGGTAGATGATGGTCACAGTATATTTCAATCGTATTTCACGTATAAATAAGCGTTTTTCCTGCGGTAAAAAGTATCCTAGATGTTGTCCAGGGCTAGTAGCTACACACCACAAAGAGTCTCATGTACACACATACTATATTTTCGAAGATTATCGCGAACAAATGATTTGGGGTAATGAAAAAAATATAGATGTCGCTGTAGGTTTTCTAAAACGCGGTAACGTTTTGTTTTCTGAGAATTATAAAGGGGTTGTTTCGCGAGAATTCAAAAATAGATGTCGCTGCAGGTTTTTTAAAACGCGGTAACGTTTTGTTTTCTGAGAATTATAAAGGGGTCGTTTAGCGAGAATTCAAAAATAGATGTCGCTGCCGGTTTTCCAAAACGCGCTAACGTTTTGTTTTTTGAAAACTATAAGGCGCTGCTTTGCACCTACATTTTACAGTTTTATTATATGTATAGATTACGCGCAACAGGAAACCCCAATTGGGTAAGTGTTGATCAAGTATATTCCATGTACTAGTTCTAGAATTCACCACTTAGTGTTCATATTAAATACCTGTGGCTTCCACCGGAAGCATTTTTGCTGTAGGCTTATGTAAGCTTTGTTATATGTTATGTTATCTCTGCTACCAAGCATCAAGCCCCCCGGCGTAGGTACCTATATACTTTGTGTCGTAACAAACAAGTACAGTAACGCTCAGCACAGGTTAGCTATTCAAATGTTCCTAACCGCTACTTATTTATTAGTGAGTTATTCCGTAATTTTATATTAGTGCATTTTTATATTAATGCATAGATAAGTAGAAATGCTATTTCCATTTAATGCTTGTGCATCGATAAACTGTTCATTCTAGCATTTTCCTCAAGTACCTACTAATATTTGCAAGTCACTCAAACTGCAACCTTGTAATCTCCGTTCTGATAGTGAACGCTTACACCTTCTGCTTTCTCGGCTACTTCCCTTTATTAAGAAGACGCACTTCATGGGTTCACTATCAGCGGAGGAATTTTAGCACCATTCTACAGCGTGAACATTTATTCACAGGGGATTACCTTCGGGTTTGTTACCCACGGAACTGTTACCCTACGGGTTAAGAAACATCCAGAAGAATATCTCCGCTACGCACTACACCCATGACGGTGGACTTTCCGAAGTGAAGACGCTTCCTGCAGTACCAGCTCACTATTAGTTGCGACTGCGAGACCTCTACACTGAAGTGAAGACCCAGCCGCCTGTCGACCTTCTTCGCCAGGGGAGTACCGTTCTACGCCAGCGAAAACAGACTACTTAGGCCGTACCTACCGCGACCCTTCCGGTTGTTTTATTTGATATTTGAATAAAATCTTTGTAACTGATGACGAGTACCCTCTCTTATTTTTATCCACTTAGGGTCACCCGTCACAATCTAACAAGCATCCTCACAAATCCAATAATATATTATTATATTCTTTGATTCCAATGATTACCTTTCATTTTACCTTTGATTACAGTGATCGCATCTCTCCACATGGTTATTTCATGCCAGGGTTTGTTTATGCTTATCTTTTTTGGCTTAAAATACAAAAGGTACTCGAAAACGCAATACCTAGATTATACTCCCATTTGAATTGGTTTGAATAATCTGCAGTTGGACAGTGATTTTGCAGCGTTTGCACTTTACCCAGCATTTGCTAGACTGTTGAAGGTTCGTGCACTTTCCGAGTTTCATCACGATCCCTTGAGCTGAGTGGGACTGAAATGCTTGTTAAATAGAATGTTTTTCTCGCATAAATGATCATCTCCTCTTTTGTTTTAAAATCATTGGTACTTAAAGAAATACTGTGCTTTTCCAACATTCTGACATTTATTGGGATTTTAATGCACTTATGATTCTAGATTATTCAAATAAATGGAAATAAGAAATTGATAAAAGTACATGCTTCGACCGGGGCTCGAACCCGGGCCGCATGGGTCAACGCCCCATCACTCTGCCACTGAGTTATCGATGCATCGATTGATGAATGTTAAATTTTCAATCTCTTGATACTCGTCTCCAAGCGACTATCTATCGACATCTGTAGAAAGTATTTACAAGTTTATTACTTCTGACATTCACTAGAAGTTGAGAAGTACTTTTCGAGTTTCATCACGATCCCTCGTGCTGAGTGGGGTAGAAATGCTGATTGTATAAAACTGTGCTTTGGCTGCGGGCCAGTCGGTTGCACTAATCTTTGAATCTAGACGGAGTTGTACGCAGACAGGTTTGATAATGTCGTTGGGACTGTCACAAGGCGAAGAAAATACCAATGAGAAAGGTATGTTTAGCTATACTTATTTTAAAGTACTTTTATCTTTACCATAACCATACCATAACAGCCACAACAGTCCACTGCTGGACATGGGCTTCCCCCTATCGGGGGGTATTGCCATACTCACCGCGCTTGACAGGCGGATTGGCGAGCGCAGTGCCAAGATGTTACATTTACAGGAAACGCTGCTGCCCATTCCCTGGATGAATATCCCTTTGTCGCTTTTTACGACACCCACGGGTAGAATTTTGATGATGCTATTCCAAGCCGGCACGGTTTTTATCTTTAAAAACTACATACTTTTAGTTTTTATTATTAGTAAAACAGTAATTGGCTCGGTGATTTGGGTAGCAATGGATAACTGAAACTAGTGAGTTAACCTCTAGCGATTTCTAATTGACCTGATACTAATAAGTGTTCCGCACGTCGATAGCCACCCAGATTACATCTTCATACACACATTAGCCAATATACATCGTGTACCTACTATTAATGAAAATAGGTATTTGAAAAAATACAAGTATCGACCTGGGCCCGAAACCAGGCTGCATAGGTCACCGTCCCACCGCTCTGCCACTGAGCTATCGATGCACCGATTGATGCCTACCAAGTGACGATCTAACGACATCTAGTAAAAAGTATTTTAAATCTTCATTACCTGCTTAGTCCACATTACAGTAGGAATTCTAACCATGTGATTGATAAAGATAGTAAATAAATATATTGGTAGGCTTGATAGGATTGTATATTTTCTTGTTATTTTGTAACTCTGAATGTGTCAGTCAGTCAGTAGTGTCAGTACTACTTGATGGACATGACCACAAAGGAGGCTAGCTCCTAACATCCACCCCTGTTGGATTGGATATAATCCCAGCCATTCTCTTGAGGAGCAGAGTCCTGGGTCCATATAAAGCTTTGGTTAGCATATCGGCTATTTGCCTGGCTGCTGGCACATGGTGGATGTCGATAGCTTTGTTCTCAGAACATTCACGTATGAAGAAATGTCTGATCTGAATATGTTTCGTCCTCTGATGAAATTCTGGTGGGTTTCTTGCTATATTAATCGCAGACTCATTATCCACGCAAAGGGACGCTTGGCAGTCTTGCCCAGTTATGTCTTTTATGACTTTCTGTAGCCAGAGTATTTCTCTCGCGGCTTCACTCGCTGCTACAATCTCGGCTTCTGTGGAGGATATAGCGACGCTGTTCTGGCGCTTGCTGCTCCACGATATTGGGCCTCCAGCGTATAAGCATATGATTCCGGAAGTTGACCTACCGGTCTCCGTGCACCCACCGTGATCGGCATCACTGTAACATTCTAAGTTGAGGGCTTTATCTGGGCTATACATTATGCCTTCTTCGATAGTGCCCTTTATGTATCTCATTATCCTCTTCACAGTAAGGATGTCTTCTTGTGTGGGATTATCTAAGTTTCTTGAAACGACACTTACAGCGTAAGCTATGTCTGGTCTAGTGCCTGTCATCAGGTATGCCAGACTGCCAACTGCTTGTCTGTACGGGAAACGCTTATCTCCATCTGGTTGGTCATTCTTTGTACCTGGCTTCAAGATTGGCGTTGATACGGGTTTGCATTTGTCCATGCCAAATTTTTCTAGTACTCGAGTAGCGTACGCCTTCTGGTGTAACAGAATGGATCCATCGGGATATCTTTTTATTTCCATTCCCAGGAAATAGCTTGCAGGTTTCACAGTAATCTTGAAACGAGCTCTCATTTCATTTAGGAAGTGGTTGGCCTCTTTCTCACTGCTGGATGCGATTAGTCCATCGTCCACATATAATGCAAGAAGGATCTTCTGTAGGCCTCTTTTTCTCACAAATAGGCAGGGATCATGCTGACTTTGCTTGAATCCGATGTTTACAATATAGTCAGTAATACATCTGTTCCAGCACAAAGGGGCTTGTTTCAACCCGTATAAGCTCTTCTTTAGCTTAAAGACTTGTTTCCCATCAGCATAGCCTTCAGGAGGCTGCATGTAGATTTCTTCATCTAATGTGCCATATAAGAAGGCTGTAGAGACGTCGAATTGTGCCAGTTTAAGCTTCTCTTTAGCAGCTACGCCTAGTACTGCTCTAATAGTGCTTGCTCTTGCAACGGGGCTGAAGGTCTCATGAAAGTCTATGTCCTTCTTTTGTGAATATCCTTTAATAACTAGACGAGCCTTGTACTTATCAATCGTACCATCAGGGTTAGTCTTTATTTTGAATATCCACTTGCAAGGAATGGCTTTTCGACCCTTTGGTTGTTCGACGAGCTCCCATGTTTGGTTATCTTTCAGTGAATTTATTTCACTTTCAATAGCCTTTTGCCATTTGTCCTTGTCTTTACATGACATGGCTTCTTTAAACGTCTTCGGTTCAAACATGTCATCAGATTCTAAAGCCATGATGTAATCAGAGTAACGAATCGGCGGTTTGAGATTAGCTCGATTTCGCAGGACCATTCTAGTTGCTTCTTCAGGAGCAATTTCCTGCTGTTCTTCTGATTCTATTTCACAGTTTGAATTTGCTGATTCCATTTCACAGTCTGATTCCGAGGATTGCCGTTCAATTTCATCGATAACCATCTCTGGTTGACCTTGAATCTCTGAAGATTGCCTTTCCAATTCTTCTATGGCGGTCTCTTGATGACGTTCAACCTCCAACTCCATCTCACGGCTTGATGAAGAGGGTTGTTCTTGTTGCCTTTCTATCTCCGTCTCACATTGTGACGTAGAGGGTTCTTCAATAGTACTTTCTTGTGGAATTGGGAAAGCATATTGGAAAGGAGCAGGAGACGGCTTTTCTGGTTCCTCCTTCGATTTACCCAGTAGAGGTATTTCTTCAAATATAACATCTCTGGATCTAATCAATTTGTGGGTTTCTTTATCCCAGATTCTATAGCCTTCATCTCCTTCATAGCCAATCAAGATTCCCTTTTGAGCCTTTTTCTGTAGCTTCTTACGATTAGCTTTAGGAACATGGGCATAACAGTTGCATCCCAGTATTCGCAAGTGTTTTATCGCAGGCTTCTTTCCGTACCACAGCTCGTGAGGAGACTTGCCAGGCACTTTAGTTGGCCCTGTGCGATTTAGCACATAAACGGTTGCATCTACTATTTCTGCCCACAGGCCATCAGGAATTTTCTCATGGGCATGCATTATTGCCCGCGCTGCTTCCACTACAGTTCTATTTTCTCGCTCTACACAGCCAGCTTGTTCAGGAGTGTGAGGCATTGTGTAGCGTTGTTTCACGCCATGTTCGGTTAAGATCTTTTTGAATTCTTCGCTGACAAACTCTCCACCGTTATCACTCAACATTTCTTTGATAACATGTCCCGCAACTTCAGCTTCTTTGAGGAATATTTTAAGTTTTGAGGCTGCTTCAGACTTTTGTCTTAGAAAATAGATATGGCGATAGCGTGTGTAGTCGTCTTTGAAAAGAATGAAATATCTTAACTTTCTCCCAATTGAATACGGAAATGGTCCGCAAATGTCAGTGTGAATTAGCTCTCCAGGCTTTGTCGCTCTAGTTCTGGTGCCGAATGGTTGCTTGTGAGCCTTTCCATAGACACAGCCTTCACAGATTTCTGACTGCGTGTTTTCCACTTTTAATCCGAATTCTTGTTCAATAACTTGACGAACGTGTCTCTTATTTTGATGTGCAAGCCTTTCATGGTATGTTTGCAGTGGGTTATTCAGTAACATGTTGACATGTAGATTCTGTGGGGCTACACATTTCATTTTCAATTTGTATAGTCCTCCTCTAGTTTCTCTAGTCCCAATTACTTTTGCTTCACCATTCACTTTTACAATACACTCTTTGGGCTTAGACTCAAATGTACTCGAGGGAGAATTGTCGTGTACAGAGAGAACTGAAAAAAGGTTTCTTTTAATTTTTGGGACGTACCAAACATCTTTTAGTAATATTAGCTCTATTTTGCCATTTACGTCGGCTTCAGCTCGAATATTGCCAATACCTATGGCTTCGATGGTTTGCCCATTTGCTGCAGTAACTTTCTGTGAACCTTTGAAGTGCTCGAAGCTTTCGAAGAAGTCACCTCTGTTAGTAACATGGCTTGTCGCTCCATTGTCGACGTACCAGTTATCTTTGTCCATTGGTAATCCATCATCAATAGCTAACACTGTCATGTTTACATTGGTTTTCTGCTTTCTGTCGTCATTCGACGGCTTTGGTGGACGTCCATCATTAATCCACTTCTGGCATTTTCGAATTGCATGTCCAACTTGGCCACAATATTTACATTTAAAAGATTTGAAGCCTTTCTTCTTTTTTCCAGTTTGCACAGTTAGTACTTCTTCTGTATTTTCTGTACTTTTGTTGGTAGTAAGCGCTTTTTCATAAGCGCTGAGCTGAGAGGTGAGGTTGTCTATTGTCCGATCCTTTTTTGTAATAAGAAGCCAGCTTGACTTGAAAGCAAAGTAGTCTCTCGGTAAGGTGCCAAGTATTTTGCAAATGAGTAAAATCTCTGGCAAATTCGTGTCGAGTTGGCCATTTAGTTCGTGCCAAATGTTTTTCAACATAGATATATGCTTCCTTATGTCGTGCTCAGGATCCTTTTTGTATTCAAAGAATTTGAGACATAGATCGTAGCTTTTGTCTTCACTACTACCACTGTAGAGACGTTCTAGCTCATCCCATACCTCTTTAGCACTTTTGTATCTCATGACGTGGTCTAGGATCTCATCCGTCATGTTCGTCGTCATCAGGGTCAATACTGCACTGTCGATACTCAAGTATTGTTGTAGATCCTTTTGATATTGTGCTACAGCAGCATCATCAGTGACTCCACCTTCAATAGTTGTCGGTTCAACAGGCTTGCGTAATTTTCCAGCTAAGATTTCTTCAGCTTTTGGAATTGCCCTGCAGACTGTCTCAATCCTGTACCTCCAATGCTTGTAGTTTGTTCCATTGAGATGCATAATTTGCACTTTGGATGTCTCCGCAATCGCTTTTTCCATGACGATGGTTTGACAGTTCTAGTGAGAATTTTTGCGAGAATATTTTCAGAACTATAATTATAAATTATATACTAATATTCTTTTTCTCTTGTCGGAAAAACTTTTTCGCACTTTATTTTCTACTTTTTATTTCTCTGCTACCATGATAAAGATAGTAAATAAATATATTGGTAGGCTTGATAGGATTGTATATTTTCTTGTTATTTTGTAACTCTGAATGTGTCAGTCAGTCAGTAGTGTCAGTACTACTTGATGGACATGACCACAAAGGAGGCTAGCTCCTAACAGTGATAAAGCTATTGCTTAATCAATCTATTGGCATTCTAATGCACTCACAAGGCTTACATTTATTTTTATTAGTAAATATATTAAATAGTAAAATCGTATAGGTAACGATTGAAAAATTTAAATTCCCATAAATTAAAAGAAATTCAATTGAAGCGACTGAAACCATTTCACGTAACTAAATTGAGAACGCAAACATCCATTAAGCGCTGAATAAATCTACTTCTGAGCAAAAACCAGCGCTGCTCTTACAAGAGCTGATTGCACTAGTAATTGACTTCCCATTAGTAAAACTGTTTCCGGGCTAATTAGTGTTCCTGATGATTT